TTTAACATGAAAATTTGCAGAGATTTTTGCAATTTATCCTAGTTTTTTTAATTAAACGATAGTAATACTTATTAGAAAATCATTTTTTAAAGCATACGTAACGTATCTACCTTTACCGAGAGAAAAGTCGAGAGGGAAAAACGAAGGAAGCCGCGAGAAAGGTAAAGCGAAAAAGCGATGACGGATGAAGAGCGAGAGATTGGGTTCGCGAGATAAAGAAGGTCGACAATAATGCCCTCGGTGCACCCTCGATCCCGTGGTAGCGGACGCAGCAGGCAGTCCCATTATATTGTTTTACCTCGACCGGAGATCAGCGAATACGCCGCGGAAGGCTGTATATACGTGCGCTTTTGATGAGCAAACGAGAAAACCAGCGGAAGAAGGGACTCGCAAGGGAGACTCGAACCCGTGGGTCGCGAGTACGACGACAAGGGCCTAGACAGTGATAAAAGTGCATTAATCCGACATTTGTGACGTGGAGAGATTGAATGCGCGAGGTGCCATCAAACCCAGAAGCAATCATTCTCGTTTAAAGCCCGTCTATAACGTTAGTTTGGTTCGATCCTCTCTGATATACTTTGAAACTAGAGATGGAACTAATACCAAGATTATGATTATAATCGGAAACAGATCCAAGATCTAACTAAGATCTTGGATTGAAACTAGGAACAGACAGAAAATTAATTAGTCGACGATGATGAAATTAAGGGAGCATATCCGTTTGAACCTTCGAGAAATAAATACATTATCTAGATTTTTTTTTGCAGCGCAACGCTTTGATAAAAAATATTTTTCTGTTTTACAATATTAATACAATATTATTAAGTACCTAAATAAAAATTTTCAGCTTAAAAAAAATTCTTGTTTCGTGCACACCGTGCATGTAAATCTGCAAATATTCGCATAAATTTAAAAAAAAAATTTTTTTTATATTGAAAATTTTTATTTAAGTATTTGATAATATTGTATTAATTTGGAAAAAAAAATGAAAAGCTTTTATCAAGTCGTTGCGCTGCAAAAAAATCTAGAAAATATACTCATTTTTCGAGAGTTCAAACAGGTATGCCTCCTTAACGAAATTCTTTGATCTAATACAAATGCTATGATTGAATTTTTTCTATTTTGCATAAATACCATTTATACATCACTGAAAAATAATTTAACATACAAATTGAAGATTGATCGTGAGATAGCGTGAAAATAACGACGTCACATTAGTGGCAAAAATAATGCATTTATTCGCACATTGTTGATAACTCACATTATGCTTTGTCGCATACATCAGCGCATATATATCAGCGATATTAAAATCGTAGAAATGCGTTTGAGAGATCCCGTGCGCGCGTGTTTCCTCCGCAGTGACGCCCGTTCGGGATCCGGAGGTGAAAAAACAATGCTGCAACGACCCCGAACCCCTTTCGTTTCGATCACGATGGAAACTCTTCCCGCGCTCTCTCCTATTTCTTCTTTCTCCCTTTGTTTCGCTGGTCTCTCTATCTTCTCTCGATCCTCCCTCTCTCCTCTCTCTCTTTTCCCTCCTCTTTTTCTCTTTCTGTCTCCTCCACCCGCCTATTTCGTTCTCGTCACTCTCTGGTGAAATTCTTCCGCATGCCTGTACGCCGTCTCGTCTCGCGCAACCTGGTACAATGCAACCCCGGGATGCATTGTGGATCAGCTTCTCATCAGACAACCCAGTGACGTCAACGATACGACGACAACTGTACCATGGTATACATATAACCGGTCGTATCTCGAGAGATGTTTTTTCATTTAATGTCTTGAGAGAACTACATGTAACGCGGTGTACCCCCCCCCCCAATCTGGTTCATTCGATCGTTTGATGATATCGGGAATAGCATTGAGAAACATTACAATTTATCGTAAAAATAAGATATTTCTATGTAAAGATGTTTCGATGTTTTGCAAAAATGTATATTACGAGCAAATTCGTCAAGTTAAATTATCCTATTTAATTCAATTATAATTTATTTTTGAAAATTTCTACAAATGAAGCGAAAAACAGTGAATTCTGTTGTAATAATATAATAGTCTTTATAACTATTAGAAATAAAATAATGTGTTTTAAAAAGAGTTAGCAAAAAAGCGACAGAATTATCTTCAAGGTAACTACAGTTTTTTGTCTAAGGTATTATAATCGTTCCAAGGGAAATTTGTTCTATTGATTTATTTTCCGTAACTTGCATTAAGGAGGAAATGAAAGTAACGGTGTTTTTTTGCGATCAACGACAAAAGTGTAAAAAAATATAAAAAAAGGGAAGGAAAATACATCTGCGTGTATCCTTCCCGGGTTCTTTATCGCAAACTCTTTATAGAAAGCGCGAAGAAAGTGCGATAAACGTGACGTTCTCAACCCTTCTCAACACAAAGATATCGACGTTATCGAGAGAACCGTGAGAACCGCTGAAGACTTAAATAACTCCCTTTGAGGAGCGCATATACGTAAAAGAGTGCTTAGAAGGATGCGGCGATGAAGGCTTGATTTCAATATGCGCGTTGCAAGTAATTAATTAAAACAATTTGTCTCATTAAAAGCGTAAATTGTGTAGCAAAATTTTCAATGTTAATGATATGCAAAAAAATATCTTTTATACAATTTATTATTTATTTTATATATTATCATTTATATTACATTTTCCTTTTCATAAATAGATATTCCTTAGGAATTTAAAATCGCATTATCTATAAACGTGCTTTTTATCATTTTGAAAATAGTGATTATTATAAAAAAAATTAATCTTGTTCAATAAGAGAGAGAGAGAGAGGAAGAGAATATTATATAGATTTGAGGAAGAAATGTATAGTTTGCATTGCGATTTTCGATGAAAAATAAAAGTCCTGAAAGTCTGTCTGAATCTAACGTAGAGTTATTCAGAGTATTAAGATGCGCTATATGAAGCAGGCCAGATCGAAAAATTTCCCCCCTTATCGAGGGGAGACAGGCGGCGCCTGCAGCTCGCGCGATGATTGCGCCGTAATCTGCTTTCGCTTTGCTTTTTCGAGGAACAGGGAGAGGGTGGGGGAGGTAGAAGGGTGGTTGTTGCGTGATTGGCCGGGGGCGTCGTTGGATCTTCCGTTTCGACCGATACATCGACAACAGTCGAAATACTTAGGGAGGATACGCGCGGACGAAATAGACGCTCGAGGAGAGAAAGAGAGAGAGAGAGAGAGAGAGAGAGAGAGAGAGAGAGAGAGAGAGAGAGATTTGGGCGGGGGGGGGGGGGGGGGTCAATCATAAAACGCTTTGATGAGATCCGTTATCCTAAGACGACCGTCGCCGATGACGACGAGTACAGGACAAGTTTCAACTCGCGTATAAGCATCAAACCTTTTGATGAGTTTGAGAGAGAGAGAGAGAGAGAGAGAGAGAGATTTAGGCGGCAGGACGAGGATGGGGATGAAACAACCCTTCTGACACGGGTTATCCTATAAACGGTGCCACCCCCGCAGCAACGTACCGATAATCCGGCCCCCGGGGCCCGCATGCGGTTGAACGCTCGCAACAGTTACCATATTTGATTGTATATCTCCTTCCCCCAACCCCTTTAACAAGATAGGAATAATACAAAATAATATGCGTTGCATCGTAAAAATCTTGTAAAAACGTGTTATTTTTGTGCGAGAGAAATTTTATGTAATATTATTAATATTTTTAATAATTCGTAAAAGAGGTTGTTTCCTCCCAATCATGATATTAATATAACCGTAATAATATCAGTTGTATAACAATGCTATATGTGATCAATAGCAAAATATGTTATTGATTCATATATGACTTGCTAATTTATACCAAGTGCGTAGCGCCGCAATTTTTAATTTATTTTTTTCGAAGTGATTTTTATGTTATTATCATGTAAATTGTTCATATTTCGAGAGTGTATTCCTCATCTCATTATCATTTCAAAATGGGAAAAGATTTTATTTGTTTTAATAATGTTTATCATCTAAGTGTGGTTCAAAAAACTTTGCTTAAGAAATAAAATTAAAATATCATGCAATTATATTACGAAAAAAATCTTAGCTGCAAAATGAGCAAATCTCTCTGTTGCAAAAAATATCCTCACTCACATGTCACTTCATCAAGCTTTGTCAAACGTCGTATACAATTATTATAAATATATTATTATATATATAGTGTAAGAGCGAACAGAATTGCGAATCTCTCTCCTCGCGACAAGACCTGCGGGATGAGCGTCGCGATAAATAAAAAATCAGAGAGGCTGTTTTCCGTTGCGTCTGACACACCCCGTGTCGAGACGGTGGCGACGGGAAAACGCGGAGAAAGAAATCGCACGCGTTTGATGTGCCGGCAAAGGGAATGCGGTGCGACGGGAGGGAGGGGTAGGAGGGGGGGGAGTAGGAAAGGGGAATACGATGTCGGAGGTGGAGTAGTTTCGCGTGGGTTGGTCGGTCGACTGCAACCACGTTTCTGCGCAACCCCCCGCATCCCCCCGCCAACCCCAGCCTACTCGACCCCTCTGTTTCACTCTTTCTCTCTCTCTCTCTCTCTCTCTTCCTCTCTTTCTCTTTCTGTTTTCCTCTACGCTTCGAAGACCGCGCTTAAACGTTACCGGAAAATTATTACCGGAAAAGCGTTGCACACACACGCGTGCGGCAAACCGCGGGACCCACCGACGGAATTACATTGATATTAGTATCGTTTGGTCCGACAAATTAATTAATTAAAACGTTCCCGTCCCGTCCTGCCGCCTGTGGCCACTACGCCACACGCGTATTTGCGTTTCACGCTAACGCTTTAACGCAGTAAACATCGAAATACCGTGCGCCAACAATTGTCGAAGGCTTTCGTCGTGTGCGAAATCTTCCCCTATAACAGCCTTGTCTAAAAATACGGAATGCCTTTAGCAAACCGTAATACTATTAAACATCTAACTCTTATATCTTCGTAATAACAAGATCATTAAACGATCGAGAGCCTGTGCTCATTGAAAAAAAATGTCACGATAATTATGATGACTTACCTTTCTTCGCGTGCAATATGTCCGCTGGATCTGGTGGTAGGGATGAACAATGGCTCGGACTCAAACTAGATTGTATCGACGAAAAAGGGCTTCCCGCACTCGACGGATACCTAAAATAATAATTTGCTCTTAGCAAACTATAAACATAATAATTATATTATGAGAATTAATTTTGTATTATACAAAGAAAAAAATCAAGCGCAACTTATAAAAGAAATTTTAAAAATTTGAATGAAATGATAATCTCTCTTAAAATTTTGTTCCGTTTCATTGCAAAATTACCTCACAATTAGTGCAATTTTAATAAATAATTTACTTTGTACATTCTCTGTTATCATATTGATTATCTGCAGTACTTTATTTTTAGAGTTGAAAATTAAATAAAAAATAAAAAACAAAATTTTAAAAATATTTCTTGCCCTCGATAAGTCAGCAAAAACATTTCTTCTTAACTTAAAAAAAATAATTATTTCTCAAAATTCTTTTTATATTGAATAAAAAAATCCAATCTTCATTACGTCATAATTTCGAGAAATATGATATTAACGTTGTTAAATAATATTTTAACATATTTCTATAAGCTAGTATATATACTACATATATAGAGCGGTATATAACATGTTAGAAAAAAAAGAATATATAAAAAAATTTTTAAAAGAAATTATTATCTTCTTTTCTTGTGTCGGTTGAATTACACATAGAATATATATTCTACACATAATGCTGTTTACCAGGCACTGAGTATATTTGAATTTTAGTTTTACCAGGGATTGGGACGCGGCCAGCCGGTGGTCTGTCCGTTTAATAGCCTGAGTTTATCGTAAACGCTCTCCGCTGGACTGCCGGCACCGACGCCAACCCCCACGGCGCCCACCCCTTGCTGTTGCTGTTGCTGCTGCTGCCTCTGTTCCTTCTGCGCGGCCAGATTTCTCAGTACCCTGTTGATTGAGGACACCTGGAACCCGAATACATTTACCGATGTATAAAACAGGTTAACCATATACTCCAACATAATTAAATAAATGTGCAGTTAAACTGCACGCATAACATTCATGTACTATGTACCATTTTGAGATGCTTTATGCGAATAAGAGCACACACACAGTACAATTTTCATTGCACCAATGAATACAAAGAAATAAAAACAAATTAAGATTTTGTATCATTATTAATGCATACAGTGAAATTACCAAGTGACCAAGTTATCATGTAAATTTAGGAAAATGAAGGTAAACGCTTTAAACTAAAATCTTGTTAAAATCAAGTTTCGTCGAAGCTAAATAAAAAATAAAGTTTTATATGTACTTCTACTTCTTAATTACTATAACAATTTATTTTTAATCATTGATAATACAAAGTATCAACATTTGAATATTTTCGTCTTTGACTTAAAATAAATTAAAGGATCTCTGGAAGTATTGAGATTTTAACACAGCTAGCACTTCTATTTATATACCTAAATTTAATCGATCTTACATGTTTTTCTAACTTTCTTATTGCTTTTCTTTCTAATTGCATTTCTTTCGTTAGCTAAATTACTTTCTCTTTCTCCCTCATCCCAAAGTTTGAAATGGCAAGAAAATATCACAAAAAAGAATTATTTTTTTAAGGAAAGCCTTTGGAGAATTATCGAGCGGTATTCCGTACATTTTTCTCTCATTCTCTCTCTTTTTTTTTCTTGCGATCGGATTTATTATAAACATAAAATGTGCGGAGAGCGATGAAGATTCTCTCCCTGAGAGAGAGGGGAGAGGCGTGGAGGCGCTTCTGCCCGATGAAATGCGACGAGAGCGGTAATTAAAACGATGCGGAGAGCGGCTGCCGACGCGGCGCGCTCTGCACGAGGGAGTTAATTACCTCCGCCTTCAATTATATCCGTCTCCGCGCCACTCCAAGGGGACTTGGCTTCTGCCGACGTAAGTACGCACTCGCGCATTCGCGTCGCGCGAGTTTATCCTCCCTACGCGCCGTATTCGCATATATGATCCCGAAACTCAGAATCGCTCTTAAGTGCGATAACGCCACAATCTATCGTGTTCGATATGAGAATTTCAACGGGAAATTTCCGAGAGAACAAATTTCGTATTACACGTGTATCGCGAATAAATAGATATCGTAATCAATGTATCATTTTGTGTTTGGGCTTTAGTCCCTAATTGAAGGTTCAAAATAAAAAATTTATATACCCGCAAATTTACTAGAGACTTTTTAATAGATCATTTTTTATTCCATGATATTTTAAATAAATGTTTTCCGTTACACCTAGTTCTTGTGATATTTTGTTTTTGCTCGTAGATATATTTTTGATTTAAATTCGTACTTGCGTGAAACGAGAATAAAGTTAAAAATCGATTTTTGTTTATTACATAATACATAGGTAATCTCTCTAACTATTTTGCGCGTGTATATATGATTACGAAAGCGATGAAATATCTACGGGCGCGAAAAATTTACGATGTCCTTTAAGACGGAGTCGCACTTTTTATTTTCGTATCTTTTATTTGTCTTCTTCTGCAGGCTGTCTTCGTCGCTTCTGTCACTTACAGCTCGTATAAATCCTGACAAAGTCGTAAAAGAATTCTCACGAAACTAAACGGTACGTCCTCCTCTGCTGCCGATAGTTTTGCAATTTATTTCCTTGCATTCTTGTATTACGCTACGCACGTCGTGGCTATTGACGCCGTATTAAAAGCGTAGTAAAATGTCAAACTTTTCAATTTGAACCTTTCGTATCGCTAAAAGTATCGAGAGTTAATGGATTCAGAAAAGTTCTTTCAATACAAAATTCATTTTAATGTGGATGTGGGAATATAATCTTTTAGGAACAATATTTGTAGCATAAAAGCAACAAATTGTTATACATGATGTTCTTTAATTTTATTTTTAATGGCTAATTTTTTGATAAATTTCAAATCAATTCTTTTCTACTTTCTAAGCTATATTAGACCCGACATTTTTATTAAGGCTAATCGAACTGCAAATTCCGATACAATTGATAGATATCTGACAAAAACTTTGCTGTAAAAAATTCTAAATTTCCGATATATTTAGAAAGAAATTTTAATAATTTTTAGTTCTTGAATAAAAATTTCCATGAATTAAATTCTTTTTTAAATTAAATTTTTTTAGGTTCTATGAGAGAGTATAGCTTCTCAAGAATTTCATCGAAAAGTATTGTGACTCAAATAAATTCCGGTTGCAAAATAAGAAAATTATTAGGAATTTTCATATAACAAAGACGTAAAATTGATGTCCTATATTTTGGATTCCTGCTTTTTACACTTGATAAAACTTCCTTTGAAACGTTCAAGAATTTTTCTATAGAGAATTGTTTAAAAAAAAAGTCAAAACTTTATTAATTGTAAAAAAGATCTAAGAATGAGAATGAAAAACTAACACTTCACAGAAATAAATCAGTCATTAATCTATTATCAATACTAGAATAAGATTATCCAAAAATTGTGAAAAATAAAGAAATTTTTTACAATTGTCCATTGCATCCCGGTTATGTTTTATTACACGTGTTGGATTAGAAGGCAAGACGAGAAAGGCGAACGTTGGCGAATACCGGTGACAGAACACCGGATCGGTCATAGGAGATATTCGTTCCCTGGGGTTTGTTAGACCCGGTGTCAGGGTTCCACGGCATTGAAACGAGCTGACATTTCGGACCCACCACCGGAGCAGGAGCGAGAGCGTGTCGTCCCCCTCGGCGTCCACGACGGCCACTATCACCACCACAACCGCACGATCTCGTCGTGTCTCTCCGTCGCTGACGCGAAAGAGACGTCACCGGCACTCTCCCCTCGTCTTGTCTCCGACATCCACGTCCGATGTCCAAAACATCCTGTCTCCTCGCTCCTCCGAAGATTCAAATGCCTTCCGTCAGCAAATTAACAATCTCCGTAACGTAAGAGAGGATCCGAATAGGATGATCGATAGATAATCGAAATCGAAAACGGGATTACACTTCATTTAATTATAAATTTCTGATCTTAAATTATTGTTATATGTATATCTCACATGTATGACTAATTCTTTTGGAAAGTTGTACGAGTTTCTACGCGATGACGCGTATGCTTTCAATCGGAAACTATTGGTAAAAATGTGACCATATTTTTTTATAATAAACGCGATAAATATTCTAGAAAAAATATCATATAAAATGGGAAACAAAATTTTATTTTTTAATTTTGCGATATTTTAATTTCGATGATATGTCATGTTTCTTGATATCAATTTTGTATTTTTATTACGCGTTCTTATCGGAGCGTAGAAAAATTCATTGGGCAATCTTTTCGATTAGGTAAGTTGGCTTTTCGATGATTCCGCGCCGCGCTTGTAAAGTTGGCCGATGTTAAAATCGATCCACAATGAAAAGTCGTTGTCGCGCACAAAGAAAGCACTTGGCGACAAAGCCGGAAACCCGACGAGCGACGGCTGCCTGTCAAGGGACAATCAGCGCCTCACGTGACATCGAGTGTCCGGACTGTTTGACCGTTTTTTGATTGACGTCAACCGCAAATATCGTGCTGGCTGCTTCTCAACCGTTGCGATATATTTACGACGTGTGTCACCCCCGTTATTATTCGTAAAGATCGTTGTGCGTTGTGGAAATCGATATCACAATGGATCCGCTTTTGTGGCGAGCCAGGCAGGCACTTGCGAAACATCGAGACACTTCCTTCTTCGACCGATCTCGAAGATATAGAAAGGTTCTTCTAGACGCATAATATAAGCTACCCTACTTCTGAATTAAATTTTAATGACAGATTGTTTGTTTTTAGAGTTGACTTTTATGAAACGTAGAGAACCCCCTAATAAAACCGAGCTTTTGGTCTGAAAATCAAACGTGGTTTAATTTAAAAGAATATAAAAATTTGAAACAAATATACTCCTTTGAGAGTTATTAACGGAAATTAATTCAGTGTATAATCATCTAAACGCTGGCATTAAGATGGGATAGAAAATGAAAGACACGCGGACGAGAACTCGTGTTTTATTGGCTCATCGCCGACAATAGGATTCTCGACACATTTTTGCACGGTTATAGAGCCGGGCGATGTGATACGAGAATAGCATATAAAAGGAACGTAGATATTATCCTTCATCCTTGTGCGCGCGGCGCGCACAAAGGCGGACACGCGGCGAGGGCTTAAAACGCGGCGCAAGAGGAAGAAGTCGGCATCGGATCGATGAAATTAGCATGAAGCGTGAAAAGCTCGAGGGTGGCCGATCTCTTAAAGAGGGTGCCGGATAGAGACGTCATAATATTGCTCTCACGTGACATCATTGCGATAGTTGTCCGACGGAAAATCTCTTTTGCCGCGAAACCCCAGCACGGTGTTTCGAGGAAACCGCGAGCGTTTTGACGATCTATAAAAGAATTATAAAAATTTGTGCACGATTGCATCTCTCTATTATACATCATTAATACTTCTTTCAGGACATACGTAATTCTTTATACGGACACAAATTTAGTAAAAAGATTTAATTAATATCAATGTCCTGTCAAAATAAACTTTATATAATACTATATTAAAAACAATTTATCTTGCTTAAATTTAATCTTTTTTTAATCCGGAAAAATTTTCACACTTCTTTAACTGCACATTTAAACGGTGTATCTCGTTAAAGTTCATCAATTTTTCTTGCGTAAAATTTACTTTTTACGATGTTGCTCGTCGAAGGGAGGTTTTTTAATCACCGTCGTGAGATATTATACGGATGGCGCGTACCCTATACACGTAATAGTGCGTGTATTATCTTTTAACGTGTAGGGATTTTGCGCTCAGAGAGTGCGGCTGTAATTTTTACGAGTGCTTATTCGCGGTAGTCGCGTATTTCCTGCCACGGCTCGTTCATATGTATGTATGAGACGAGGGTGTTAACCGTGAAGAGAGCGGAAGGAGAGAACACGAGGGTGCCACGACTTTCTCTTTTCCTCTCCATTCA